TTTATTTCCTAAACTACTCCCTCCTATCCCTAATTATCATTCTAACCATCATAAGATACATATTTATATTCATGGGGTGGGCATCAAACTCAATATACTCCCTCATGGGAGCAGTACGAACTATCTCCCAAACCCTGTCTCCCAAACTATGTCCCAAACACTGTCCGGTGTATATAATTCACAATTTAAATTATTTAAAATGAAACAATTAAAGATCTAGCTCCGATCGGCATTAGGCCTTTAATATATTATTAGTGAGTTCACGTCGGTCCTATGAGAATTAAATTTGTTAATCGTTTAAAATATTTATATACTTTTACATTTTATTTTGCTAATTTCATATATAGCAGCTTTCAGTATACATTGATCTAGCGTAGTGCAAGTGACCGAATTCGCTATTATAGCTTTTTGATTTGTGTCATTTTTAAAGTAAAGGAGTGATATGTTTCTCAGCGAGTTGTACTATCCTTTTGCAAGTATCTCGTGACAAGACGCGTCATTTTTGTCGCGAAGAAAGCACCGCGAGCGCGCTAGGCACGGCAAATGAAATGCGGTCAACCAGTCAAAAAATCAAGCATTTATATTCCGCGGAGATTTTTCAGCGGCGGCTGGACAGTTTTCTCATTTCGTTTATGGCCGGTCGTAACATAACTCTGAACCTACTACCACCGGCCACTGCCACCATCACAATCCTGATACCTGCTTACGCGCACCACTCTCGCGGCAGCCGCTTTAACTCCTGTCTTCTCCTCCCTTCTCCTCTCCTCTCCTCTCCTCTCTTCGGCTGATCACCAACGTAAGACGAGTTCGCGTAGGTGGAAGACGAGCTCTGGTGTCCGCTCGGCGAGCGTGGTGGAAATACGCGATGTGCTCGGTATTCCTCGTAAATCGCCTGGGACACGACGGAAGATCTTCTAGTGTTAAAGTCTCAACTTCCGCCCGACTTTTACTCGCAGTCGCGCTGTTTTAATCGCTATTCGAGCGTTATATGGAACACGTCTCGTTGTTGCTTTCAAATATCACAGGTCGCTTTACCGGTACTATCTATCGATTCATATGACGACATAATCGGATTGTCAAAGACAGCACAGACGCATAAAAAGTTTACACATACACTGCCGATCAAAAATCTTTGGATACTATGCATACTTACGGTATAAGGATAAAAATGTTTAAGACAAACATGGATATTCGATCTAAACCAAAGAAATTTTATATTTATTACATTAATTATATTTATTTATAATTAACATTAATTTATTTATAACAAAAAACATTATATTTATATTCAAAAATCTTTGGATACTATGCATACTTACGGTATAAGGATAAAAATGTTTAAGACAAACATGGATATTCGATCTAAACCAAAGAAATTTTATATTTATTACATTAATTATATTTATTTATAATTAACATTAATTTATTTATAACAAGAAACATTATATTTATATATAAAGTATAAATATTTATACTTTAAATTCTGTTTTGTTTCTCATAAAATATTTATAAGATACAAAACAAAACATTATCATTTGACTCTTACGAACTCTTGAAAAAAATCAAACCATCTTTGTAATCTACTAAAAATGAGCATTTAGTTGACAACAGTGATTTCAATTTCCATTCTGCTTGACGCTGTATCTTTGTCCATGTGTTTGCAAATATTTCCGTTATGTTTCTTTTGCGTCATCGTAACGTGAAAACAATTGTAGAAAGTTGAGAGACAAGGATTTGATAACAAGGTATGTGGTGCTCTAATATTAATACACACACACATACACACACACACACACAAGTTTTTATTTTTTATTGAATTGAAAAGAAAATGTTTGTGTGAATTATAAGAGATGGCTCCGCGATTGCGAACAAATGTGGACCGAGAGACGAGGGTCGTAATCAATGCATACTACAATGATGGTCTTTCTATTCGTAATATTGCCTCAAAACTGAAGATCTCCAGGTCCACTGTTGCATACAGCATCAAGCGTTTTCGTGAATTTGGAATCAACAAAAATCGACCACGAAGTGGAAGGCCACGGGTGACTACGAAAGCTGAAGATAAGTCCATCGTGCTGCTCTCCAAACGAGATAAACGACGAACTGCTCCTATAATTCAAGCAGATTTCAACTTAGGCCATGACAAGCAGATATCTGTAGCAACTATCAAAAGGAGACTTAGATCAGCTGATCTCTTTGGTAGAGTTGCTGTACGGAAACCACTTCTTCGTTCAGTAAATAAAAAGAAAAGATTGCAATGGGCGCAGAAACACAAGAATTGGACTGTAGAAGATTTTTAAAAAGTGTTATGAACGGATGAGTCCAAATTTGAGACATTTGGCAGTAAAAGAAGAATATACGTACGACGCTCGGCGAACGAAAAAATGATGCTCAACTGCATTACACCAACTGTCAAACATGGTGGAGGATCCGTAATGGTTTTGGGGGCATTTTCCTACTATAGAGTCAGTGCTCTGTATACAATCAATGGAAATCTCGATCAGAAAGGATACCACGAAATCCTTGTTCATCACGCAGTTCCTGCAGGAAAAAACTGATCGGCCGAGAACTCATTATGCAGCAAGATAATGATCCGAAACACACTTCAAAGCTTTGCAAGAATTTCTTGATAAAGAAAAAAGAAGAGAATATATTAAAATTAATGGAATGGCCACCACAATCGCCTGATCTAAACCCAATCGAACTTCTATGGAAAGAACTTGATCATAAAGTGAGGAACCAGTGTCCAACCTCTGAAGAAAGCCTCTAGAATATATTAGAAGCCTCTTGGAAGCAATTAGAGTCAATTATTTTGCAAAATCTAGTCAACAGGATGCTTAGAGTAGTCAAAAATGTGTTAAGGGCTAGAGGTGGCTTTTTTGATGAAAAAAAGGTTTGACTTTTTCTAATCGTAAGGGTCTCAAATGATAATATTTTATTTTGTTTCATATACTTTATAAATAAATATAATGTTTTCTTTGGTTTTGATCGAATGTTCATGTTTGTCTTAATCCTTTTTATCTTTATACCATAAGTATGCATGGTATCCAAAGATTTTTGACCGGCAGTGTATATGTATATATTTATTTATATAAACATATAATACCTATTATATATCACATATATATATATATGTATATATACACTGCTCAAAAAAATTATGGCATAGAAAAATTGTGGGCAAAAATTAGCCAACATTAATTAACGATTACTTTGCGAAAAATTATCGTAGGATAACGTTTTTTTTTTTTAAATTAAAGCTTGAAATCTCTACTTTAGGACACTATGGCCAGATTTGAAGTTTAATGCACCGTTACCAAAATGTAACTTTCAAAATACGAAGGTGTGTTTGTCATATTGAAAATTGTAAAGTTCGACGTAATACACGGACTTTGTAAAATTTTGGGGGAATGTCATTTGCATCGGCATAAAGTTCGAACTTTCCCCTTTAATTTAAAAAAAAAATGAGTTGCTGCGATTTTTATTCGCAAAGTTACAGCACATTAAAATTATCCTTGCATTTTTTTACATATACTACCAACCTTACCTGCATTACCGGATATGCACCACGACAAGATTATTGGATGGATTTTGCACACCGTGTTACTGCGTGTGTGTACATTTTGCACATCATGTTTCTACGTGTAAATTTCAATAACGCCTGTTGCCTCCGCGTTACTCGATTACTGCTTGCAGTCGATTTCTCATATTAATGCAGGCCCTAATTTCTTCCTGCGACATGTCATTCCAGATTCCGCAACGCGGAAGAAACACGTTACTGAAATTTACACGCAGAAACATGATGTGAAAAATCTGCACACACGCAGAAATTCGATGTGCAAAATCCATCCAGCAACCTTATCGTGATGCACATCCGGCAATGCAGGTAATGTCAGTAGTATATGTAAAAAATGCAAGGGTAACTTTAAAGTGCTGTAACTTTGCGAAAAAAAAATCGCAACAACTCGTTTTTTTTTTTTTTTTTTTTAATTAAAGAGGAAAATTCGAACTTTACGCCGCTGCAAATTTACCAAAAAAATTTTACAAAGTGAATTCTGTCGAATTTTACAATTTTCAATATGACAAACGCACCCTCATATTTTGAGAGTTACATTTTGGTAAGAGTGCATTAAATTTAAAATCTGACCATAGCGTGGTCTTAAAGTAGAGATTTCAAGCTTTAGTTTGAAAAAAAAAAACGTTATCCTACGATAATTTTTCTCAAAGTTATCGTTAGTCAATTTTTGCCCAATTTTTCTATCTCATAATTTTTTTGAGCAGTATATATAGAGATAAGCTACACGAATATTATGTAATGAAAAATAGAGAGTTCCATTTTAAAAAATCGACGTGACCTTGACCTGGTCATGGCGACACCATCCAAGGTCAAATTAATAGTACCTTCTTATGTCCCCCTTCGAACCATACAACTTTTGTTTGAAACATTTTTCCGTATCTACCATAGTTTTCGAGAAATCTTAATGCGTTGTTTAAAATGGGACACCCTGTATATATAATTAAAAAATTCCAACTCATTCTCTGATTTTCGACATCTTATATCGTTAAATGCAAATGATAGTGTTAACTCGAGCCGAAGGTTGATCGAGCGTTTATAAAAGTCAGACATAATGAACGATCGTAATTGCTCCACACACACTTGAAGTATATATTTATCGAAAATGAAGAAACAGTCTCTCTGTAGCTCGAGTGGGTCCAGTCGGAGACAGGTTCACACTAAATGGCGGTCAGACCAGGCATGTCGCGCACCATGGGGTGTCTCGGTCAAAAGCGCCGACTTCGCTTCCCTCGCTCCACGACGTCCTATCACTGATTCTCTCCAATGTACACTCTTTATCTCGAACCTCACCACCGGACAAGGGGATTAATTTTCGGCTGCGTTATGCACTCGTAGTTTTAATAGCGTCGCTCGCTGCATTACGCAATGGAAGAAACAAGATTAAGTTAATCATGGTTAATTGTAAATAATATACCAAGTTTGATGTGTTTATTTCGTTAGCCAGTGTTTTGCATGTGTGCAGATACAATAATAGTGACACAATAATAGTACGCACACTTCTGTCTTGATGCCTCCAAATTTTTGTTATTGACATGTATTCGCGCAGGTACTCGCGCAATCCGGGTAATTCCATTAAACTCTTAACGGAGTCGTAACCGGGGTATGGTCAACTTGACAGAAACTAACGTTGAAATCACGTGTAATTCAGGGCGGCGTCAGAATGCGCGATTTTTCTAGATGATTTACAAATTAGCTTCCGTTCCTACCGGTCGTGGGGAGATCGGGATGACCGGTGTGTCCCAAGAGGATGAGGTTTCGTTTACCACAAGGTTGCTTCTGCGAAGAAGGGCTTCTATTAGTACTTCTGGCTCAGGCCAGCTTTGCCGCCCACCTCCGCAGCCGCAGCGCAGGATAACATATGGTTAGCTGAGATCTCTCGAAACTCCATTAACATAACGTCGATCTCCACCTGCTTCACGAAAAACGCGAGAGGAGAACGAGGCGTGGTGGTGGCTAAGTCGATTGCGAGCTCTACCAAGAACTCGGAACGGCTGTCGTTACCGCGTCCTTTTCCATCACGACACTTTCTTCCTTTCCTTGCCTTCACGATTTCTAACGACGACGATCGATCAGACTTCCTTATGGGGGAAAAAGAAAAGTACTGTATTAAATGCTTCTTCTGCTCAACGGAGACGTTAAACGAACGAAAAACGGATTTCTTAAGCTCCATTGCTTCTTTTAACGCAATAACTTGTTTCAATTTAAAGGTGATCCTTTAGTAAATCGAGTTACCATAGAAATATCTAATTTTTATATATAATGAAATTGAAGTACCGAAATTGACGTGTGCAAAATTCTACAGTAGGTTAACGATGAAATAAGAAAGAAAAAAAAGATTGAAGATGTAAACTTTCACGTATAATTTAGTGACAGATAAGACTCATAGACGTACGCTTCTTTGACTAACTGCACTCAAATTTTAGACTTTAGACTTTTCTCAAAAACGAAATTATAATAGTTTAAAAATTACAATTTTAATGGTCACATAAAAAGTAATAGGTCAACGACCATTCTAGAAAGATATTTACGTGCATAAACTTACATATATATTTAACCTCGAAAAGTAAACATAATCTCATCTTGTTTTTGTTCGATGAAGATCAACACTTGATTTATTATCGTATGTTCCATATTATTTCATTAAAATATACACGTAGTTTTAATATTTTATCCAAATTATGCATACATTTGTAATTTGACACTTTGAGTGGGCCCTGATGAGGTACCCCTTTTCGGTACTTTACTAAAGAACCACCTTAACGCGTTGAATTCCATATTTTATCATTAATTCTACTAAAATGAATATATAACAATGGTAGTCCTTGATTTAGAATTATCCAATTATTTTCGGAAAACATTATTCAAATTAATTACATAAAAGCACTTAAATCTGCCACATATATATAAATCACTGCACATTATTATAATATATGTAGTTGAATTATATGTGTTTTAGAGAGAGAAACGTTAATAAAAATTAATTTTAGAATATGCACTATGCTGATGAAACAAGATAGGATTTTGACAGGACACACAGGCCGACTTCATTTCGAAACAATGTTTTTACTTGAATTGCTGGTTGTGAAAAGAAACGAACGCTACTCGGCGCCGTTGCATCTACGTGGTGACAATAATTTATCTTGTAGTTTAATAAAAGTATTTCATCTAAAACAGTCGACTGTTTTTTACTAATTAACATGTAAATATTAACACTCCATTTGCAATTATATTAGTATTGTGTTATGATTTCAGCTTCTTACTGTTAATATTAATGAAATTATTGTGAATTGAATCGATTTATCACTGTAATAAGTAGCGCCATCATAAATTATAATCTACATAAAATGATTACTGTAGGACTATGGTTATTTCGTGATACATACGTGTAGAGGAATAGTAAAGCATGTTGTATAGCAAGATACAAGTGCTTTGTTTTACTTATTCTTTGTTTAGTTGGTTGTCTTGTATATTCCACCTATTTGGGATATACTGCATTTTTAGCGGGTGGGATTTATGGTCCAAAGCATACAAAGTGCGCAGATTGAATTCAGTGCACTAAATGCAATAAACGCATTACATGAAATATATACCTCATATCATAACACTTGTAATATATGTATAGAAAGATTGTAATTATTAAAAATAATAAATAAAGGGCGAAGTAAGAGTCAATACGTAAAAATTATAGTTCGAAAATTGGTGAAGCATGAAAGATTGAGTCAGTCTGAATATAAAGTATAAAATAACATTTAATTAAATAAATTGATATTCAACTCACATTCGGTCGACGATACAGATCAACACATACTGAACTTGCTCAGTATATGTTGATCTGTATCGTCGACCGAATGTGTAACAAAGTTATATTATAATTATCGCACAATGTTCGCTTTACACCGACATACCATATACAGCCGTTTTCTATGGAAAAATTTTAAAGTAATTTACACATGCCTTTTGATTTTCAAGAATCATTGATCACGAATGGCATGTGAACGGCGTAGATTTTTACATCCGAACAAGATTTATTATGCGTTTTTACAAGAACTTATTGTATATCAAATCCATGCAAAATGGTATCTGAAGAGGGCTCAATCTGGTAGCCGAAACTTGTAATGTGTTTCTCAATTTATTTAATTAAATGTTATCTTATATTTTATATTCAGACATTTTATATTTTGACTCAATCTTTCATACTTCACCAATTTTCGGACTATAATTTTTACGTATTGACTCTTACTTCGCCCTTTATTTATTATTTTTATTTTTATATAAAGAGTCCTTTTATTTGTTTAATATTGTAATTATTATTTATTACTTCATATACATATTTATCATTCTTATTCCTTAATAAAATTTTTTAACGCATTTTATAAGTTATTGTGTCATTTTACGTCTTATTTATAAGCATTATTTGTAAATTTTTCATGAGACGTTCATACCTCCCTCCTTCTATAAGTAGCCATATATCCCACCCCTATAGGACATACGGCAAAAATGCAAGGGTTTCAAAAAGTTCATTTTTTAATACGAAAAATAAATATATATATTTCGGATTTCTAATATTTTTTTCATAGTAGTAGACAGTACAAAGTTTTTACTGATATAGTTCGTTTACTTTAAACATAGTAAATAATACTTAATAAATTAAGTTTTTTATAGGTGCGGCGTATATACCGGAGTTACCCTAAATATGCCGGAATTAATACGCGCCACACAAATCCTAAACTACAGCTACAGTTTATTGTCCGATGTCTGCGGGCCACCGCGTAATAAAACGAAGAGGAAATCTCATCTCGTTATTTGGGGTTCTTGCGTGCGTTCACTCGCTTGCTTGGACACTATCGCTATCGCCCGACCGGATCGAATGCGTGACAGACTGCGGGCAATATTGCATTCCTATCCGCCTATGAATTCGTTAGGAATCATCCTGTATTCTTCTCCACACGGTACATTGTCAGGAGGGGACGAGTATACCAATTTTCGCGCCGTAGATTATCGGCGCGACCGTGACGAATAGATATCGATGTGATTTCACATTCGATGTGAAGTCGGAAATATGGTCTTATTTACGGAGCTGAGTCTCTCAATATGTACCATCTATTCAAAGGATGAATCACGATAAATTAATGAAATAATATAACATTATCCTTGTTTACGTGCATATATTGCTGTGTGCTTCAACAGAGATTAATTTAACATTTAAAGTATCAAGCGGTCATTATTGATTGTTTCTGTTTTTTACATTAATAATTAAAATAAAAACGGATTTCTGACAAATCGAATTAAAAACAAAAATATATAGACATATAAAAGTCAGGCGCGGATATCGGTGCGCTAAGAAATTATTCCAGCCATTAAAAAATATATAACGTAAAATCTACACATAAAAGTGACAGGTTTACAATAGTTGATAATATTCGCGAGATAACATGTTTCGACTCTAGCTTCGAGCTCTCTTCAGATCATATAAAAATTAAATGCATAAAAATGTAGTCAAAAAAATTTTAGTTTTATATTAATACTATAGAGGAAAGTCGCTGATACTGACATAGGTCTCCTAAAGTGACACCCCCTTATTTCTCAGAAACTAACTATTGCACTTTATTAATACTAATAAAATCATGATCTGTTTAGCTAATTAAAGAAGTACAAACTAATAATTCGTATATTTGTGGCTTGTTTTTATATCAAATCAGCTAAAAACGAATTCTACGAATGCGAAAATAAAATTCTTACGATTTTCTTTTGCAAATTGCGTGGTTTAAATAATAGTGACTATATTATTGATAATATTACATCATTTTAAATGCTTGTAGTTTCCTAAATCAGTTTTATGTATATTATTTTTCTCTTAGTTTTTTCATAATACGATTTTAAATTTAAAATTCGAGTGCAGCGTAACTGGCCACACTTGTCTGTAAAACAGACCATGAGCTAACTTAATCTTTATAATGTTGCTTTATAGTGTCAAATAAGTCTATTGGAGCTAAAGGCAATCATATATATATGGAAAAACTCTTGAAAAACTATCGCATTACATATTTGTATCTTGCATAAAGAACAGCATAAAATAAATATGCATATAATTCAATAAAAATGTTTTATAATGAAGTGAAAAGATTATGGAAAATCTTATATACATTCGGTACTTATAGGTACTTTATACAGATAATACTTGTAAAATAAAAAAAAATATGAATACGTAGCATTATCGTCTACTGTGTCAGTTTTGGAGCCCATTTTGTCAGACGCTCATTTTTACTTACCTTACGAAAAAATTAATTATTGCAAAATTGCAAATGATATTATAAAAACTGCATATACTATCTGATAGAAGACACTTTTCAGTTTGTACTTACGTTTTTAAACTTTTGTTTAAAAAATATTGTCTAAAAACAAAGTGATATGTCGATATCGATGACTTTCCTCTACGATAGATCAGTCAACAAGTAATCTTACATTTGCTCTTAATAATCACGGTGATAAAAATTAAGATTATTTATTGAATTACCCACGTATTTCTTGTTTAAAAGATAGAATTCTTTTTTTACTTTTCAATAATTATGCCTTTTATATTGATGAAATATTTGATTTCTCATTACCTTCTTTATTCTCATGATAATTTATTCGTTTGAGTCTTTTTAGGAAATAAGAAACATACTTCTAATATTGAAAATGTAAAAAGTTTATATTTTCATTTTGTATTTGTTATAATATAAGGCATTATATAGGGAATATATCTTTGCGCGTGTTGCTTATTATAATAGCAAGCAATCCATAGACGAAATCTTTTTCTTCCGTATATCTATTCAGTCCGCGATTTGGCGAATTGAGCTTAACACATCGCTGCGTTACGCTGCAAGATGCTAGTTTTCGTTCTTAAGGCTGTCATCGCACAAATGAACTCTGATTTACTGCCGCACTCACCCACCGGTACGTCTGTTCTAATTGCAGGTCCGTGAGCTCGTAAGAAAAATATGCTCCGATCCACACCCCCTGACCTTCCCACCTGTCGTCATCCCACGCAAGGCTCCCGTAAGATATCGAGCACGTATCGCGATGCATCACCCGATCAGGTGTAACGCCTCTATGTGGACTGCTCGTGTAACAAAGACATTTGCCTGCGGAGTAATCGAGGTCGCAGGATCATCGTCAACGTGATAAATCATCGGCATGGAATTGTTGGTGGATTAAGATTCTCGTAGCAGAAGATGGTGAGTGAAGAATATTTTCTATTTCATGTAACGAGATCCATGAGGGATGGAAAATTAACTAATACTTGGATCAGCGCTTATACGATCAAGAAATTATTAAATTGCCATACTTTTTATCGCTCCGCGGTGATCAGAAGTGCCAAGTGGTTTTTATCGCGTCCACACACACACACACACACACACACACACACACACACACACACACACACACACACACCTCCCACGCCATCAAATATAAAAAGAAAGAGAAACCCTCGCGCGAGATCCCTCGTGCCCCCGAAACTCCCATCCGAACCTCTTCGTACACGCGAAGAGATCCCTGATCCCGTCTTTGGAACTCGGTAGCCCGAGGGCCGTGAGAGGACCCGACATATCCAGTCGCGTTGGCGTGGATATTTGCACGGGGCAAATCTTGGCGCTGATCCGATGATTATGTTGTCGACACTGCTCTTTCGTCCTTCCCGTCCCTCTGTCCTTTTTAGTAACCCGTTTCGGCTTCGCGATGGAAGGCCGTGTGTACCAGTCTGGGAGTAATCCGAAGACCGCCATTGCGCCGCGTGTCCTCCTGTATCCACCACCTTCCGTCTCACAATACGTTCGAATCGTTTACGCGTACAAGATCGGTAGTATGAATGTGCGTGCGTGCGTGCGTGC